TAAGTATAAAAGGTAGCATTGAACTTATAATTTGATTGTTGATCTTGCTTGCTTAATGGGTTTATGTTGATTGCTTCAATTGGTGAAGTGTTGTGGCAATTTTGATCTTATGACACTTGAAATGCTTTGGCCAAATGTATAATGTTATGCTAATGTGAGTATGTACTTGTTTCTTTCCTTAGCATAATACATGACATGATTTTATGTGACTTGAGGATGTCTTGAAGTTCTATAACACATCACATTATGCATTACTTGATTAACATGATAATTATAGTTCACTGCTACTAAGATTTCTATGAAATCTCATTTCCTCCTTTGTTAAATTATGCATTAATAGGAAGTGGATCAAATATGGATAAGGGGAAGGAGTTGGTATTCAGCTAAGGAGGCCAAGTGACATTTATGACATTGTATAAAGTTTATGTTGTATTTTGTTGACATTTGGTATAATTTGTAAGGAGTTATGGATATGATATACTTTGGAACTATGTAATTTATAATATTGAATTGTGGTTTATAATCATGGTTTGGTGTGCCTGAATGGATGGTATATAGAAAAGAGAAAAGAGAATTTAAAAAAATTGGTTTAGGGGATAAAAAGCCCTAAAAAGGAGCAGATTTGTTACACATAAAACAATAAACAAATAAATGATTTTGGACTTAAACTTGGTAGAGTTATAGATCTCATTTTTAACTTTAAACCAAGTCGTAGATCACTAAATGTGGAGTTTTGTGCTAGGAGATATGCCCTTCCAAACTTAGACTAAAATACTAAAAAATTGGAAAATAACCAAATAAGCAGTGCAAATTTGTGAATTTTCTGGCTCCGTTTCATGATGATATGGTTTCAATGAGTATGAATGCATAAGCTTCATATAGAAATTAGAACCACTTCCTTTTGATTTTTCTACATTTAGTTGTGAATTTTCAAAGTTGGCAAAAAATTTTGTGAATAGTAACCCGAAATAAAAATTTCAAATTGAAAATTTTCTCATACTTAAGGTTTATATAATGATCAAAAAGGGTTCCATTGTTGTATAATGGGGTATTAAAGGAGGTGTGACAAAGAACATTCTATACCATATTGTAAATCAATCATTTCATAGCATCACAAGCAAGCAACACATACACATTAAGTAAGAAAGAAAAACAATCAATTCAGTTTCTTGAAGTTTTAATATTTTCCTTGGTTCTTCTCCACAAGACCTATCAATTCAAGCTTAATCACAAGCCACATTAACAACTATTGAAACTTGATGATCTTATGTCGTTTAAAGCCAAGTTTAATACTCTAAGAATGTAGCAAAGTAGCTTCCAATAAGAGATCTATCTCAAGGAACTCAAGAGTCCAATAGTGTTATTAAGTGATTAAGTCACAATTTAGGGAAGAAATTAGGTGAATGCATTGGCAACTGAGATGAAATCATTTCTAAGACTATAATCAAATACTACTAAAATCAAAATTCAGAAAAGAGAATGTTTTGAGATTGGAAATCAATGAGATGAACGATTCCTAGGAGGTATAACTTTGCCTTCACTGCCTTTCTTGCATCAATCAGAATTTAAGAGCTTTAATTGAATTAATTTTTGATGAGGTGAGATTGATTAAATGGAGATTCAGCTACTTCCAAAAGAAATATTAACCAATACTTCTCAAGAATTCAATCACAATGTATAAATCCATAACTAGACCTAGCTAAAGAATCATACATCATTACTCTAAATCAAGAAGATAACTGAAGTTACAATTAACCAAATCTCAACTCACAGAAATGGATAGAGAGGAGTCTGAATCCAGAAACAAATATTGACAACACAATCAAAATATTACCGAAGTTAAACACCTATGAACTCTAAACTCTTCCCTGTTTAACCATGGCTCAGGCTCCATTATAACTCCTAGAAATCCTTGAAGCTTAGCTGGACATGGAGGATGAAAGACTCAAGCTGGAGGATAGGAACTTCATTGCAGCAATGGTGATGGTTGGGAAATGGAGGATGTGGACGGAGCAATCCAGAAAGACCGAAAAATACAGAGAGATGAAGATGGAAACTTAAAAACTGAATTTGAAAACTCAACCCCCCTTAAATGCTTTTCTCCCTTGTAATTAACACCTCCCAACTAAAAATCAGTTCAGGATCTGCGTGCTAACCAAAATGGAGCTCCAAGATCCGATTCCATTCCCTCCCAGATTTTGTCACGCGCCTTCTGGTTCAACACTCAGCGCCTATGATCATCCGCCACGGCTCGCATCCAAAACTGCGTCGTTTAGATTAGTGACTCTAAGCTGCCTGTTGAGCCAAATCTGGCATGGCGCTTCTTTAAATTCGTCGCAGCAGTTTTCACAGAGAGTCTTGCCACTTTTGCATACTAAGTCCCTGAGTGTTTGTTTCTTTGATTTCTGGATTTGAATTCTCATGAAATTACAAAACACTCCTTCCAAGCAATTAGTAGTATTTCATCACTATTAAATCTAAAATTAAACATATAATACCATGAAAATCATGCTAGAATCAATGAAATATAGAGAGATATCAAATTCCCCCATACTAGCACTTTGCACTCTGGGCAAAGAATCACCAATTCACTTCCCAGAACACATGCCAATCCAAGTGCAATCAGAATCAAAATCCATACACTAGTTGTATTATTTGTTGAGCAAGCCAACCCATAAAACTTTCAATTAATGGCAGGAGAATTAATGCTAAACATAGCTCAATCATTACAAGTGAAATGAGAGACTCTCAAATTAAAGTGTTTCTCTCTAATTACCGGTGGTTAAATTTTCTCTCCTCTCTACTAGTCTATGTCCTATCATAGGCTTGTCAAAATTCTCGACATCTCCACCACTGTACCATATGAGTTCAATGCATCAGGAGGTCTTTCTTAAGGTTGTAATGTTGGAAAAGGCTAAGATGGAATGAATGAACTAACAAGTGAAATGCATGAGTAGCAAAATGTCAACTCAGAGTAAGCTAAAGTATAATCTTGAAAAGACACCAATGTGCAGATTTAAACTTTTGGAACAAAAATCCTTGCTCTTCAAACCACCATGGAATGCCTTATTTCAAATTATTATTTTTTTTATCATGACTTATTTTCTTCTTCTTCTCTCCCTTTTTTCTTTTTTTTTTCTTTTTTATTTTTATATATTTCTTCTCATTGCCTTTTTCCACTTTTTTTTATTGGCACCCAAACCCAAGAAGACAAAGATATAGACATTCATGATACACTTTTCAAAGTGAAAAACCAAATACAACTCATGCAAAACACTTGCTACAAAACAATGAATGAAATGAAAGTAAAGGCTCAAAGAGGTGAACAAAGGTTAAACGTGAAAGGGTTTGTGTTTAGGTCAGAATGGGTTTAGAATAAAATGCCTCTATTATATGCATCTTGGTCATATCAAAATGCAGTCTCAATGAAGAATTAGGACAAGTTCTAGAGGATCATAGGACTAGAGAGTATGCACACAAATTCAGAACATATAGGCTCAAATTTCTTCCATGTGGGTTTTCTCTTATCCACTTACTTTAATTGAATCATATCTAGTCACTAACTTAATTTGCACCAAAATCAGTCCCATGTTAAAGGTTTGTAACAAGAATAATATCAACTAGGCATAGATGTTGATATGATTGCAAAATGGATTTCCAACTTGCAAGAATACATCAAGGGTTATGAATTGATTCTTAGAAAGGTTTTTGAACAAACAAAGTGTAAGGTGAGCAAATCCAATTGTCTCTCCTTAAAAAGATTCTAAACCAGCATAATACAATTACTCAGTGACACTTCAGCATCAAAAAGGAGGTGTTCACCTTCATTCAAGAACAAGCACTGTAGCGCCTTTCAAAATAGGCCGTGGCGGTTTTTACAAAACTGAACTTCCATCAGGTACTACGGTAGATTACTCAAAGGGCCGCGGCGCTTTTCACAAAACCAAATGTTCCAACAAAAATTATCATTCAAATCCTAACAAATGCAGCTTTAAATCACAGGAACATGCAATGCATTATTAAGAACCAAACACCTTTGAATTAAATCACATGTTGAGTTGCAAAACATAACCCAACTACTTCAATCACAACTCAAATATCAATACAATCACCATCTAACTAAGCCATCAGCAATACTTATCTCCCCCATTCTTATACAAAGTATTCTCCTCAGTACAAAACCAATGAGCTGTGCAAACAAGGAAAAACCAACTAAAAGAAAACAAACAAACAAAGATTTACCTAAGCTAACAGAAAAGGGTTTACCCTACACTTATTCTCTTAACAAGTTCAAATATGTAGATAAAAGCACATGAGATAAGGTGGAAGAAACAACCTGTAGCCTCATGGGGGATGGAAGTGCTCATGATACAACTTGAATAAGTGACCATTAACTTTCAGACTTTGGCCACTTTTTTCATCTGTTAATTCAACCATTCCAAAGGGGTATACTTTGGTGACTAGATAAGGCCCATCCCACTTGGTTTTCAATTTTCCATGTTTAAACTTGAACATAGCCTTGAATAACAGAACCTTATCACCCACATGAAATTGTTTTCTCAGAATTCCCATGTCATGAATGATTGTACTCTTCTCCTTGTAGGTTCTAGAGCTCTCATATGCCTCTATTCGAATTTCTTCTAGCTCTTGCAGTTGCAATTTCCTCTCCATTATAGCAACTTCAAAATCCAAATTACATGCTTTAATTGCCCAATAGGCCTTGTGCTCTAGTTCAACTAAGAGATGGCAAGCTTTTCCATAAACTACCCTATAGGGTGACATTCCTATAGGTGTCTTGTATGCAGTCCTGTAGGCCCATAGAGCTTCTTCCAATTTAATGCTCCAGTCCCTTCTTGATGGTTTAACCATCTTCTCTAAAATCTGTTTAATTTCTCTATTGGAAACCTCTGTTTGACCATTAGTCTAGGGGTGATAAGCTGTGCACATCTTGTGAGTAACTCCAAACTTAGAGAACAATCCATTCAAGAGCTTATTGCAAAAGTGAGTCCCACGGTCACTTATCATGGCCTTAGGGATTCCAAATCTTGTGAAGATATGTGACTTTATGAATTTTGAAACTGTGACTGCATCATCTTTCTTTGTGGGGATAGCTTCGATCCATCTTGAAACATAATCCACAGCCAAGAGAATATAATGATTTCTAGAGGATGGTGGGAATGGACCCATGAAATCTATACCCCATACATCAAAGATTTCACAAAAGAGAATAGGATATTGAGGCATCTCATTCCTCTTAGTTTTCTTAGCATCCTCATAAGCATCCTTAAAGAGGGTGGGCCAATAAAATCCAAATTCTAAAATCTTCCTTGAAGTTTTCTAAGCACTAAAATGGCCTCCACAAGCATGAGAATGGCACGCCACCAAGATACCTTGAATTTCTTCATTTAGAACATAACACCTAATCAATTGGTCATTACACATCCTCCATAAGTGAGGGGGTTCCCAAATGTAATACATGGCTTCACTTTTGAGCTTCTGAGTCTGAAAATGAGACAATGTAGCAGGGATTAAACCAATAGCTAGAAAATTGACCATGTTAGCAAACCATGGGTCATGAGAAGCTATAAAACAAAGAATAGCAGTTGGAAGTTCATCACAAATCAGATTATAGGGTTAGAAACTCCCTTAGTTCCGGTTGGTAATCGACTCAAATGGTCTGTAACATGGTTTTCAGCTCCACTTCAGTCTTTGATCTCTATGTCAAACTCTTGGAGAAGCAAAACCCATCTTAAAAGTCTAGGCTTAGTGTGTGGCTTGCTAAACAAAAACTTGACAGCAGCATGGTCAATAAAGACAACCACTTTTGATGCAAGAAGGTAAGGTCTAAATTTGTCTAAAGCAAATACAATAGCATAAAGTTCCTTTTCAATGGTTATGTAATTAATTTGTGCATTGTCAAGGGTTTTGGATGCATATGTAATGACTTGAGACAACTTATTTACTTTCTGACCTAACATAGCACTAATGGAAGCATGAGATACATCACAAGCAAGTTCAAAATCTAGTTTCCAATCAGGTGCAGAAAGTATAGGTGGAGAAACAAGCATGCTCTTTAATGAATCAAAAGCCTTTTTGCAAGCATCATCAAAAACAAATGCCACATCCTTTTGCATGAGCCTAGAAAGACGGTTTGCTATTTTGCTAAAATCTTTCACAAATCTTTGATAGAAACCAACATGTCCAAGGAATGATCTAAGTTCCTTCAAGTTAGTTGGATAGGGCAAAGAAGCAATAACTTCAATTTTAGCTTTGTCTACTTCAATTCCTTTCCTAGAGACTCGATGACCCAAGACAATTCCATTGTCAACCATAAAATGGCATTTTTTAAAATTCAGAATCAAATTCCTATCAATGAACCTAGACAAAACCCTATCTAGACTTTCTAAACAATCATCAAATGTGTCACCATACACAGTAAAATCATCCATAAGCACTTCCATAGATGAGCCTAGAAATTCACTAAAAATAGACATGATAGCCCTTTGAAAAGTACCCGTGGCATTGCATAGTCCAAAAGGCATCCTCCTGTAGGCAAATGTCCCAAATAGACAGGTGAATGTGGTCTTGTCTTGGTCTTCCGAAGCAATAGGAATCTGGAAATACCATGAAAAACCATCTAGAAAGCAGTAATTAGTTCTTCCAGCTAATCTTTCAAGCATTTGATCAATAAAAGGTGGAGGAAAGTTATCTTTACATGTAGCATCATTCAATTTCCTGTAATCAATGCATACCCTCCATGGGTTTTGGACCCTTGTTGGAACTAACTTATTCTTTTCATTTTTAACAACAGTAATACCACTTTTCTTAGGAACTACTTGCACAGGGCTAACCCACTCACTATCTGAAATTGGATATATAATTCCAGCACTTAAAAGTTTATTCACTTCCTTTTTCACAACATCTAAGATGAGTGGATTAAGCCTACGCTGTGGTTGTCTCACTGGTTTTGCTTCCTCATGAAGTAAAATTTTATGTGTACAAATGGAGGGGGTAATACCAGGAATATCAGCCATAGACCAACCTATTGCTTTCTTATTTCTTTTCAAAAAAGTGAGCAATTTCTTCTCCTCAATATCAAATAAGGAGCTAGCTATGATAACAGGCAATTTATCATTTTCAGCTAGATATGCATATTTCAAATGAGAAGGCAAGGGTTTAAGTTCCAACTCTGGTGGTTTAGTGACAGAAGGTACTAATTCCTTAAGCTCTAAAATAGCTAGACATGCTGAAGATATGTGTGGGGAATAGGCATGATTACAAGATGAATCAAATGATATATGCCTCTCAGGAATGGCATTAATTCCAAGAGAAATAAGGTCCGAAAACTCCCTATCTCAAATTGTAGAGTCGAGCATATCCTTTCCCCTTATTGATGTGAAAGAATCAGCTACTTGTTGTTCCTCACCTTGACTTTTCTTTCTTTAGTCCACCTGTGCAGAAAGGCTTGAAAAGAAATTAGCAAGATATCGTATAGTGTGTAAAGAATTGGCACAATTAAAATGAAGTGGAATAGAAGTAAGCATAGATTCTGGAGCAAAAGCTATGTTCTCTTCCCTTTCCTTGTTCAATATACCTTGAGCCAGCTTCTTCACTTCTGCAAAATTAGACACAAAATCCTTTCCAAGGTCTTGGCTTGATACATGAGAAAATACCTCATTATTAATAGAAGATAGATCAAAAGAAAAAAAAAGACAAAGTGGAAAGTGAGCTATCAACTGTTAAAGAGTCAATACTCACATGTCATCATTATCATCCAAAACTGAATCAAGGCAGAAAAGAGAATTGACATCAAGAAAAGAAAAACCAATATCCAAAGTTTCTTCCTCGTTCAATTTATGCAAAGAGCATTCATATTCTTCCACAGCCTTATCAATCAAACAATCAATAGCATTGACACCCAAAAGTGAATAATCTTCAAAGGGATGTTTCATTGCTTCATAAACATCAAATTGAATTTTCTTATCCCCTACTTCCATGGTTATGTATCCATCTTTCAAGCTTACTATTGTATTAGCAGTCCTAAGAAATGGTCTACCCAAAATAAGTGTTTCTTGAACATGGGGTGGGGTATCCATATCCAAAACATAAAAATCTGCAGGGATAACCAAGTCCTTGACTTTCACTAAGATATCTTCCAACAACCCTTTTGGCTTCCTAATAGTCCTATCAGCAAGTTGTATTAACATGCTAGTGCTCTTAATAGTTTGAATGCCTAAAGATGTGTATAAAGAAAGAGGCATCACATTAATTGCAGCTCCTAAGTCCAAAAGAGCATTGGCAATATTTAATAGACCAACAGTGCAAGGTATTGTGAAAGATCCAGGATCAGCACACTTAATGGGTAGTTGAGGTTTAAAAATGGTAGAAACATTAGAGCCCAATTGCACTTTCTCATTAGGTTTACATTTCTTCCTGTTAGTGCACAATTTTTTTAGAAACCTCATGTATTTAGGTGCTCCTTTCAAGAAATCAAGTAAAGGAACTTTCACAGCAAGTTTACCAAACAAATTCATAGCATCCTTCTCAAGTTGATCATTAGATTGATATGAGGGGACGCACGAATGGATCGGCTAGAATCAAGTAATGAACTGATGGTTGATCTAGGTAGGACCTTAAGAGAACCTGTCTCTTACAACCCTAGCCATGAAAGACACCACAAGGTTGATCAATCCCTTGATACTGTCGAGTATTCTCACGAGAATACAAGGATGCAAGCAAAGCTCACACAGAGAGAAATAAACTAGTTCTCATTCATCTAAGTCTGCCTTCAATTACAAAAATGTAGCCTATATATAAGCAACAATAGAAAACTCTAGAATCAGCATCCTAAGACATAAATGCCAGGGATTATTTGATTATGGGAGGCACCATTTATTACATAGAAATAAAAGGAAATAACTTAAACTTCAAGAACAAGTCTGCTATTTAAAAATAGGAAAGTAGATCAAAACATGATCTTCTAGAACACTCCTTGACCTAAAAAACAAATTTAAATCATAATCAATTCATAATGATGCCTTCTTGATCCTTCTTGAAGATTCTTGGATGTCACTTATGATCCTTGTCCAAGGCACATGCTTGTCACATGGTATTTCAAGTGAATTCTTCAATCTAAACCCCACATAGGCCTTGTACATCATCTTGTTGGGCTTCTAGCAATGTGATCACCATTTTTAGACTCCTTTTAGGCTCATTAAAATGTGCTTCTTCCAAATAAATAGGCCCCAGCTCTTTTAGCTTTATTATTAGACAATTTAGGGCCTCCTTCATAGCTTTGGTCCTTGCTCTTGTCATTGGGCCTCCAATGCCTTGTAATGGATCTTTTGGAATGTTGGACTTCTTTGTTTGGGCTCCTTGCCCGTGCTCTTGATCACACCATGCTTCTCCATCATTACAATTTTCTAGATACTATAAATGAATTAGGAAATGGTAAATCAGAAATTTTTACCTCCTTCTCTTTCTGCTCAATAATTTGAGAAGTATGTGTTGGATTCTTGTTGCTTATGACTCCTATGTTCTCCTTTTGCACCTGGGAAGATTTAGCTTCTTCCTTATCTCCAAAATGTGTATGAGAAGTTTTCTTTTGCTATAAGAGTGTCCTCTCTTTTCCACTTTTAGATTGCACAGTAGGTGTAGAATCTTCTTTTGAACTAGAATCTGATTGCTTGTGACAGCATTCTTTTGTAAATCTTACTTTCTTCTCACTAGCCCCTATTTACTTCCTACTCCTTAAGGATATTGCATTCAGAGACTTTGGATTCACCATAGTGTTGGAGGGTAAATTCCCTCTAATTTTAACTTGCACCTCACTCAATGAGTTAGCTAGTTGAGTGACATAGCCAGAAAGA